CACACCAAATGAGAGTATATATATATAATAGTTAGTTAATATATTAATAAACAAAATAAATAAGAACTATGTCAATAAGTTGGTAAAGGCTGTTCGTCAGAAATATATATATAAAACTGTAAATATTTATATTTATACATTGTAGACTCCCAATTTAACTTGTGTTTTAACAGTGAACATCGTTTGTGCTCGGTTAATAAAAGTTAGCACAAAGATTTTAATAGACGTGGATGTTGCCTGTGCTGGCCGGTTCGTTATACAATATGTAAAAAAAATATAATTTCTCTTTTCTAAAGAACCTTTAGCGTTTATAAAAGGACAAATAAATAAATAACTTCCATACCTTTATATCAGTAAATATATATAAATGGAGTATATTATATTGAACAAAGTACAGCAATACTGTTATTATTAGGCACTATCAGTACTGTGAACACAATAGCTCACCCTTGTGTTGTTAACGTGAACAGCGCCAGAGTGGCAGAGCGGCGAACCTTGGAACTGTACACATTCTTTTTAAATAAAACACAATAAAATTTACTGTGTTGCTGTACACAATAAACAAATAAGAATACAGAAAGAATTAAGATTTAAAATGAAGAAAAATACGACATTAAACTTAACAAAAATTGTGTTGTGTGTAGTGTCTCCCTCCAGCCATCCCAGACAACTCCTCTGTGTTCACTTATGGTAGACTAATTACTCTGTGGAGGCAACAACAGTACTGGGTTCTAACACAGTACGAGACAATACTATCAAGAACAATGGGGGGATCATACAAAGCCCACTGGCCTCTTTCTCTCGGCATAGCCACGTCTAATTGGGGTGGCCATTAGGTAAATTAAGCAAATGTTTTAGTAGGAAAGTTTTACGAGATCAAACTGAATTTATATAATGGTTGTGTCTGTCTTGGGAAGGGAGGAAGGACGACTGGTGTCACTAGCTAATAGTAGACAACGCACTTCACTAGTGGAGTGCGTTGTCTTGGGTGTGTAAAGTGTGTGTGTGTGTGTGTGTGTTATATCTGTCGTGTGTATTTGCGTGTGTGTTATATGTACGTGTGTCATACGTATCTGTGCGTGTGTGTGTGTGTATGTGTGATTTTTTAATGTAAAATAAAGAAAGAAAGAGAAATGCAAAATAATACCGAAAGAAAAAAGTAGAGCACACATGATAAAGAAGAAACTGATAATGGACATAGAATTACTAAATTAATTAATAGAATACATAAAAACAAAAGGAAGAAAGAGCAGAGCCCGAGGATAGTGATGATACTAGACAGAAAGTAGAGGGGGAGCCTAGGGAAAAAAACCAGGTAGGCGCTAAGAGTAGGAGAGCGAGGTAAGGGGTAGAAGAGGGAAAAATGGTGTAGTCATGGAAAACGGGGGAAAAATGAGGATGGTGGTAGAAGAAATGGTATGTTGATGGGGGGAAAAAGGCTTAGGTGTATGAGGGAAAGGTAAATAGGCGGGGAAAATTGGTAAGAAGGAAAGGGAAGCTAGGAGGGGGGAGGGAGGAAAAGACGGTGGAAGAGAAATGGTAGGGAGGTGGGGAGAATAGGTTTAGGTAGTAGGGGAAGCGGAGTGAGAATAAAAAAGCGAGAGAAAGAAAGATAGGATGGTAGGGGGAAATAGCATAGGGATTGAAATAGACGGAGGGTGGCAGGGAAAAGGTTGGAGTTACAGGGAAAAAATTGGGATGACAGGGAAAAGGTAGGATGAAAAAAAGATGGTGGCAGGTAAAAAGAAATCTAGTGAGGCAAGGAAAAATCTTAGGGTGGCAGGGGAAAAAAGTACGAAAAAAAGATCAATTGGCAGGGAAAAAAGTAGGATCCTGAAAAATAGAATTACCTTTAATTATCATAAAGTACGACCCTGAACGATATGATTACCTTTAAAATCGATAAAATGTGACCCTGGTGAACAGAATTACATTTCAGTGGAGAGTAAAGGGGAGGGCAGCGTGGCCTTGTTCATAATGACAGCTATTGCGAAAGTTAACACCAATTATTATCCTGTTTTCGTGCCCTCCTCCTCCTCCTCCTCCTCCTCCTCTTCCTCCTCTTCTTCTTCTTCTTCTTCCTCCTCCCCTTTTGTCACTTTCTCTTCTGTTGATTCCTGTCTCTTTTTTTCTGCTCTCTTTTTCTTCTTTTTTCCTCCTCGTCTTCTTCTCTTTTCTTCGTTCTCTTCCTGTCTTTTCTTTCTTCTCTTACACTCTTTTTTTACTTCTTTCCCTCATTTTCTCCCTCTTTTCTCCTTTCCCCCTCTTTCCCTCCTCGCCCTTCTCTTCCTTCTCTTCCCCTATTTTCTTGCTCCCTTCCCTCTTTTCTTTCCCTCCCCTCTTTTCAGTCTTCTGTCCCTTCTTTTCTTCCTCCCATTTCTCTCCTTTTTTCTCTCTATTCCCCTATTTACTTCACCTATTTACCTATCTTCACCTTATTCTCCTTTCCTTTTCTATCCCCTTCTTTCTCTCCCTTTTCGCTCTTCCTTCCCTGATTCCTCCCCCACACACAACAGTATCACGTCGCCTTTGACCCCCTCAAGTGACACCATAACCCTCCAGATATGTTCAAAATTCCCCCCAAATTTCACCCCCCAAAATCCCCCATTCATCATTTCTGTTTCTCCTGTGTGTTTCATCCATCTGTTTCATTGTTTTGAGCCGCACTTCACATTCATCCCTCTCTCCCTCTCTGGTATGTGTATGTCATTCCATTTTTGGTATATATACATTCGTTTTGAAAAAGGGGAGGGGGATAAAAAACGGGGAATTTTGGTATGTGAGGTGGAGTTGCACCGCTGGAAAGTTATGTTGGAAAATATTTCATGACAATTGATTCTCTGCGTGTCTAACTTTTCATATTGTTCACCCTATATCTGTTTATATATATATATATATATATATATATATATATATATATATATATATATATATATATATATATATATATATATATATATATATATATATATATATATATATATTGTATAGGTGTGTGTGTGAGTGTGTGAGGCGACCTGTGGTGTAATGTCAAGTATGCTATTTGCCTCTGTCTACCCAGCAGTAATTGGGGACCTGGATGTTAATTGATTTGCGGATCGTATTCCGGGGTAATGGTTAGCCAGTGCAGTTGGCGAGTTGTCCGGTCTTCTCCGACTATTCCTTGAAACTGGGCCATGCAGCTCGTTAACTTAGGGTGTGGTTGTTGTGTTGGCGACAGCCTGTACACCTTAAACAAATTCACGCCTAGGTGGCCCTAGGGCCGGCCATCCACGTCACACGAGGGGCTCCCATTATTATTATTATGTGTTTATATGTTATTTGTATGTCTCTTATGTGTTGATTCATCGTTTAAATGACTATTTATCCATTTATTTATTAATTAATTTACTTACTTTTGTAGTGAGTATGAATGATAAGTTTACAACCATCTCAAAGGCTGGATCTCACCACAAGTAATAAGACCATGGTAGTAGTCCCCAATTTTAGGTTAGGTCAGGTTAGGTTAGGTTAGGTTAGGGCTCATTTAACTTGAGGAGGGCAATTTGACCGGCAGCCGTTGGAGATAATATGTGTCCGCGTGCAATGTATTATTTGTTCCGAAAAATAATTTTATTTCTATATACATCTCGTTTCTAAATTACCCAGTATGTTTTTCTTTCGTTTTCTTTATAAACCTTCTCACTATTGTATAAATATTATCGTGTCTTTGGAAATCTCACGTGGTGTTTACAAACATTAACGTGAGACTTTTTGCCAAATTGACACCTTTATGGCACCTTTGTTTACCTGGGGGGAAGAAGCGTAGACAAGAGAGCACACAGAGGAAGACGAGGCAGCAACAGAGATAACTAACACCATCTACTGCTGAACATTTTGTGCTTCACCTGGATTGATTCATAATTGACATCTATTTACCTGTACATACACACCTTGGGCATCATTAAAGGGGTGAATCTTGGGTTTATTTCTCATAATTTGTAATGATTGTTGGACTTGTTAGACGCTTAAAGACCTTATTTGTTGAGGAGCCGTAATAACTTTATAACAACGACAGAGGGGTGAACTGAAATCGTTACAAGTCCAAGCTGGGAAAAAAAATCATCATTCTCTATTAATTACTATAATTACTTCAAACTATTTTTCTTTCATTATTAACCTTCTTTCTTCTCTTCTTTCTACCAGTTTTAGTTGTATATTTACCACAAGTTTTCATTTATGTGTATTTTTTTTCCAGACAAAATAAATCTCCCGTTCCATAGCTCAGTCTAATGCATGGTGCGTAACGTGTTTAGAATAGATAATTATATTTTCTTTTAATTTTGTTATAAATTATATATTCCATCAATTACATCGTGATATTTTAGACAGCATTTTCTTCGTCCTGAAATGTAATCACCTTGCCATTGATTTGTTTTTTGTAATTTTTTCATCCAATTAATATTACTTTGTTGAGTCGTGATCTTACAGGACCCTAAGACAACTATTTATCATTAACAACATCCCTTCACAGTACCTAAACACACCTCTGTCTCCTTAACCATTTACCTCTCACCTCTCTGCCTCAGTATAGCGACCCCACGTATCTCTCATCTCTCTACTGTACACATTAGCTTACTGCTATGTGTCCCATCGTAATTCATTGTCATCCCTTTACACGTCATCAACCCCTCGTAAAATTCCACTCCATATCATCCCCACACACACCACCTTTTGTCACTCTACTCCACCTCACCATAGCACCATAGCACCATCCTTTGTCGTCACCACCTCACTCCTCTCTACACCACAACCATTAGTCACGTCTCCAAACTACCTCAATGTTACCTTGGTATATCCTCTATATCCGACTTTACATCCTATCCAACCCACTCAACTCTTTCCACCCCACCCCACTCCGTCACTAGCCCTCTCACCCAAAACCCCGTACCTATACCTCGATCCCACTCACCTGGACGTCACACTCTTACCCTTACCTTCAACCCCCTGATACCACGTAGGTCATAGTGACGTTTGCCTGCTGCTTGGCTCCGCTTGCTTGTGGGTTCGCCCTGGCCTACAACCTCACCAAGAACCCCGCCGAGCTGATGAAACCTCAGCTCGGGGCTTGGAGAACCTACGTCCACTTTCTGGGTGAGTTAACTGAGGTAATGTGATTTATTTGTGATTATTTGATTATTTCTTGAAGATATTTATGGAATTATACGATAATTCTTCCTATAAAATAATTCTTGGGGTTTATCAGAAACTTAATTTTATAAATATATCTTTAGAAGTTTCTTGACTCTTGGTAAAAATAAATTCTTCCCTATCTGACAATTCCGGAGAGTTTTTTTCACCTAACTACTCAGATATTTCCTGTAGAAGCGTCAGGAGACTCATAAAATATCTCCCTGTCTCATTATTCTTGAGATTGATGACATATAACGAATCTGAATCTATCCTCAAGACGTCTCCGGGGTCATATAGAATACAACTTTTCCCGTTTGATCGTAACTAAAATCTTCCTGACATGATATAGATGTGCTCCCTGTGTTGGTTACCTGCTGTCTGGTAAAACATATCTTGTCGTGTTTGATATTTTATTGTGATTTCTTTTGTCTGCCATTTTATTGTTATTTATTTATTTGTTTATTTATTTATTTAAGTTAGCAAGTGAGTAAATATGTTACCTCCGTCAGGGTGTTTGAGTGGAGGGTTTATGTCTGGGTTCCTGGCTAACTACGGGAGGAAGGTGGTGTTGCTGCTGACGATGGTTCCTATGGCTCTCTCTTGGCTCTTCGTCATCTTTGCCACCCAGGTGTGTGAGTCATTTCTTACCTGTTTTTGATGAACCATTATCGATTAGTCTCTTTTTTAAGTATAACCATATCAGTTAAATTTATCACCTGAATTATATTAGATACTGGACATATAATTGATTGTTGCTTTTTTTTTTTTGGCTCTAATTTTAATCTTATAATTGGTATAATTTTTGGTGTATATTTTTATTTTGCTTTATGAGTTGCTCCATCATACTCAGCTGGGACTGTCATATTATTGTTAGATTACCTGATATATTGTTATATTTTGATGAGGGATAATTTCGACATAACTCTTTATTCTTTACTTATTGTAGCTCACACGCCCACTAACCTGTCCGTGTTATAGGTTTGGATGGTGTTCTTGTTTCACGCCACGTCTGGTGTGTGTACTGGGGTGGTGATGGTGGTAGCACAGGTGTACGTGGCAGAGATCTCCGTGCCTAGGATACGTGGCGCCATGTCCACGGCGCCACTCCTTGCCTTCCAGGTGAGGGTACTATAATCACATGTATTTGTAATGTAATTATTCACTTCTGGAGCATATTGAGCATTTGTCATAACAGTATTCATATAACATTACTAACTATTAAGCTTCTGTTTACTTCTGTTATTTACTTGATGGTGAGTTAATTTAGCCTCTCGTATTATAATTCTACAATATATTAAATTACATTGTGTCATCGTGCAATATGGATCAAGACAGTTTTGTATAATTTTTTATGTTTTGTATTTAACACACCCACACAAGGCTTAATAGTCCACACCAGCAGTGCAACTCAGCGGGACAAACGGTCTAGCCACAACACGACGCCTCCACGTGTTGGTGTAAAGAGCGCCATCTGTGTGTTATGAACCGAAACATAATGCTGCCTGGGGATTTTCGGTAAACTTCTCATTTTAACTGTCCCTTTACTCTCCTTGTGTCCGGAGTCCAGTCAACATTATACTGTAACGTAATCCCTTATACAGGTCGGGTCTCTCCTCTGCTTCATGCTGGGCGAGATTCTTGTGTGGAAGAACCTGGCCATCGTGGGCGTCTGTGTGGCCATGCCAGTCTTCGTCGCCGTCGTCCTGTGTATGCCTGAGTCTCCCAGGTTCCTCATCCACATCCACCCAAACGACGCCTTAGCGACCCTCCAGTGGCTACGAGGCCTCGAGAACGACGTAATGGAGGAGTACCATGACATCTCTGACAGCAGCGACATGGACCGCTGGAGTATCGTCTGCGATGATCTGGTCCGACCAACATTCTGGCGGCCTCTTCTGATCTCTTGTGGGCTTATGTTCCTTTATAATATGACGGGCGTGGCCAGCTTCACCCTCTACGGCATGGAGCTCTTCGCTGAGGTGTCTAGTGCCTATATCAACGTCGCTCACTTCATTGTAACAATCGTGTTGCTTGTCGCCATTACTCTGTCAGCTTTGCTTGTGGACCATATCGGAAGAAAGCTTCTTCTGTTGCTGTCTCTCACCATCATGGCTGCTTCCTCCTTCGTGCTAGGCCTCTTCCTCTTCCTAAAGGACCTCCACAAAGTCGACAACTACTTCATGTATCAGTGGATCGCTGAGGTGTTCTGTGTGGTGTTGTTTACTTTCGCCCATGGGAGCGGTGTGGGGCCCATCGCCTGGGTCACCCTGGGAGAGATCTTCAGCCCCAGGTACAAGTGGCTGGGCGTGTCGATGGCCTCAATGGTGCTGTGGTCGTCCATGCTGGCGGTGGACGTTATCTTCCATAAGATCCGTGTGGCGGTGGCCACAGGGGGGATCTTCTGGTTCCACTGTGTCGTGTGTGTAGGCGGCTACATTTTCATTCTCGTCTGCTTCCGGGAACTTAAGGAACAACGTATCGATGATATTACAAAGTCCTTTGTCAAGAAACATGACAGCCTGATTGAAACTTTCATCGCAAGAGTGTAGACGGTAGAGGCTTATTCCTCGACACTGTATAGCCGTTCTTGTGTTTTGCTCACACAGTATTTGCTTAGCGGAAACCTGACATGCTGGTTGTCTCGACAGAGTGAACTGATCAGTTGTTTAAATTTCATGTACTGTACATAACTGAATCACCATCGAATCCCAGTGTTGAATATTCTTAAGTAACATATCATTTATCAAACGATTTTCATTCCTGATTTTGTACATATTGTACATAGTATTTATTAGGATAGGCTCAAACGTAGCGTTTCCTGTACTGATATGCCTAAAACATCTTCTCTCACCAAAGATACGAGTAGTGAACAGGAAAAAACATTGATTTTTACTGAAGAAACGGCGTTCTCTCTTGTCAAACTTTGGGTAACTTCCATAACACAGGTTAGTTCACAACAGTGAAGGTGTATCTCTTCATATAAAGACTCGCGTTAGTGCGGTGTGTGCAACCACGTAGCCGGTGTGAAGGTAATCCCTGAAAAGAGTCTGGCTTACGTAAATATTATTAAAAAAAAAGTAAAATACTAGTTTTCATAAGTTTATTAGACTCTAAATAAATATGTGTCCTCATACATTAATTTCACATCATACATTTATATTTTACCGTGGTTGATACCGAGAACAGACGCAGATTCTCCTTTCATTCAAGCTGATTTATTTACACTGCTGCAGTGATGTGTCGTGCTATGATGCTCCCCTCCCACAGACAACCCAAATATATACCTGTTTCTCACTGTTTCTTCACATAACCTGGTGTCACCCATCTGCAGCAGCTTCAGCCCTGAAATAGTTAGAAGAAATGCAAAAGTCTCAGTGCTGACTCGTCCCTCTACTGAAGGTTCTTAGATATCATGTACACTCAGACATAATAATAATAATAATAATAATAATTAACGGTTTATTGAAAAAATTCTGCAGCCCGAAGGCTGAAAATATACATTGGACATAAATGACTTATTACATACATTGGTGGTTTAACAAAAGCCTTCATTAGAGAAAGGTAAAGGAACATACAGTGAACATACAGATTAATGTAGGTGTTGAACAGCAAACTCGTAGTGTAGTAACTTCCTCCCAGATGGTGTTAGGAGGAACTCACGTGGTGTAGTAGTTCCCTCAGATGTTGTTATGAGGGACCTGGCGTGGTGTAGTAATTCCCTCGCTGATGGTGTTATGAGGGGCCTCACGTGGTGTAGTAATTCCCTCACAGATGGTGTTATGAGGGGCCTGACGTGGTGTAGTAATTCCCTCACAGATGGTGTTATGAGGGACCTCACGTGGTGTAGTAATTCCCTCACAGATGGTGTGATGAGGGACTTGACGTGGTGTAGTAATTCCCTCACATATGGTGTTATGAGGGACATGTGGTGTAGTAATTCCCTCACAGATGGTGTTATATGAGTGAGGTTTGGTCCCAGGCCTTCCTATCGTAGACGGATTAACACATCGGTGGTTGTTGTTGGGTCTCGCGGGGGGGGGCCGTTATCACTGGGTACCTGGGACCTCACTGTGTGAAGGTTAACTTGGGTACGACTGTTACTGTTGAGTTGTTCTCACTGACTTAAGCACTGTTCACCACTGATCACCTCGGTTTAACACTGGTTCCGTTCCTTTCCTAAATGAAATTGTAACTTCTGGCGAGAACTTGTTGATATTCCGGTGGGGAGGAGGGTTCAGGGGAGGGGGTTGGTAGGGGCCAACTTAACAGTTGACCTGGCTGCTCCGAGAGGAGCGCCAGGTACGTCTTGACCCTTCGGCAGTGTGTTGGTATGGTCACAGCTGATTCCATATGCAAATTTGTCATGATTTTTAAATTTTACTGTAGCAACTTAGATTTTGTTTTGTAATTTATGTTTTGATTAAGTTGTTTATATATATATTTTATTGTGTTAATATGCTATTGTTTTATGCTCATGTATATGTCTGTAATTTATTAAATGTTTTATATTATTGAAAAATAATTGTTGTTTCCATATATATATAACACGAGACGTTTATTGTGCCATTATGATCCTCTCACTTCCCTCTAAACTTTATCTGCGCTTCCTGTCGTGTTTTACTTTACTCGCTTCTCTATATATTGAGAGTAAGGTCCCCACGAGGCTCCTCAGTTGTGGGCATTATAAGTTCCTAATTTGTTTTGAACTTTAATTAGAGGAGGAAGGACCCCGAGTAAAGAGGACCGTTCAGGAGTCATTACAAGTACTGCTATGACGGAACACTTTCCTTAATTACCAAAAGGTGTTTACTCTCTTATGTAAAAGCTAAGATTAATTTACCAAGTATGGAAGCACTGGCTATTGAAGCTCCTGAATGAATAGGAAAATATCTTCAAATATATCCGTAAAAAAAAAAAAAAAAATATATATATATATATATTATATATATATATATATATATATATATATATATATAAGTATATATATATATATATAGCAGTATATATATATATATATATATATATATATATATATATATATATATAATAACTATTCTACACAGCTGACTGCCTCGTTTACATGGTGCACGAAACAAGGGGTGTAGGCATGCTCTTTAAAAATATATACCAGTAGTAATAACGGTAATGACGTAAATATAACTTTTATTAGCAATCAGAACATTTTCATATCATAATGCGATAATGTTACAACAATAACAAATATATAATTACTGAAAATTATTATTGTGTGTACGGGCAAACCTCCAGTTAACTTTTAACTAAACAACGCATTTTAAACTCACCATTTTTCCTGTCATTCATATTAATTATTTCAACCTGTAAAATATATGAATAAAATTTTTCCACATGTGAAACAGAATAAACATTGATAAATTATTTCCAGTATTCGAGGATGATTGCGTAAAGTTGATCCCCCCCCAGTGTTATAGGGCCAGGTATAACTATAGTAAAGTCATCATCACCTGTGAGTTATGACAGCTTATTAACTAACTGGTAATATGACATGTGACTACCCATATCATCCAGGGGTCTAGTAGTCCACCTGCCATTAACCTGTAATCAGTAGTGTTTACCTAATGGCCAGCTACTACACCGCATCAGCTCTTAAACACGTAAGTTTAATATTCTTAACTTTAATACAGGTATAGTGATTTTTAGAGTGTGTGAACATCATATAGAGGGGCTCGTCCTCCCTCCTGCCTACTCTTCCCCCCCCCCCTCTCTTCCCCCATCACACTCTTGCCCCATTCTTCCCCCCCACTCCTCCCTCCTCACTCTCCCCTCCACTTTTCCCCCACTTCCCACCACTTCTCCCGACCCTCCCACTCTTTCCCCCACCCCCCACTATTTCCCCCAGTTATGTTGGCAGTCTACTGGGAATCTAATTGAGGAAGAGAGTGAGGGAGTTGTGAGAGGCCTGAAGTTGTCAAAGGCCCAGGATGCCAAAGGGTTTGATGTCGGCTCTTTGTCCTTCTACCTCCCATAAACGCTTCGCTGGAGAATGTTGCGGCAACCTACCTCTCCCTTGCGGCGTCTACTAGTATTCTTTGCAACCTCTTCTCGGCTGACATACTTCCACGATCTTTGGGAGTTATTTTCTTATTGTTCTTTGTGACTTTACTTGTATAATGTCTCTTAGCGATATTATTTTTTCTTAAGTCTGGTGTTTTTTGTGACCTCTCTGTGTTCTGTAGGTCAGCTGGCGATATTTCTTTGAGCATCTTCAAGACCTCTTACTGGTAGATTCTTATGGCGATATCTTTTCTATATCTCCCTTACAAATTTTCCAACATTTATTTTTTACGATATCTTTTTATAATTCTTTGTGACGTCTTCCTTTGGGTCGTTCATTTACGTAGTTATTATTTGCTGCCTCTTCTTTATTTATCGTTATAATTCACCGGTGGTATATCTCTATGCTCTTCACGATCATATATTTACATTTATTTCTATACATATCCTTTGGTGCTATATTGATATGTCCTGCTATATTATATTCTGTCGACATCTTAGATAATATTCCGACCTTTTTCTCACGCACGCTTCTATACACGTTCTTTGTACTGTGTTCTTAAGTCATCCTTCGCGACTACATGTTCATCGTATTCTACATTTCGCGACTCTATCTTTCACGGTCTGGTTATGTATGTTCAGCACCCCTTACAATCTTTGAGAGAGAGAGGGAGTCAGAGAGAGAAGAGTCAGGGAGAGAGAGAGAGGGGGGAGTCAGAGAGAGGAGAGTCAGGGAGAGAGAGAGAATCAGAAAAAGGGAGAGAAGAGTCAGAGAGAGAGAGAGGGGGGAGTCAGGAGAGGAGAGTCAGAGAGAGTCAGAGAAAGAGAGAGAGAGGGAGTCGTCAGAGCCAGAGAGGGTGCAGAGTGTGTGTTTGTATAGAGTCAGAGAGAGAGAGTCAGTGAGAAAGAGAGAGAGAGTCAGAGAGAGAGAGAGAGGAGGAGTCAGAGAGAGAGAGAGAGTGCGCAGAGAGAAATTACTTTACCAGCTGATAATGTAAACAGGGGGTAGCTGCACCCCTTACCCCCTCCTCACCTCATATCAACCCTCATAACAATAATCTCGCTAGCTGATAACGAATGGCGACCAGGTGGGACAGTAATTAACACCTGAAATACACCTGGTGCCTCCAACACCTCCTGTTGCCAGGTACGCACGACCAACGGCACCGGGAAACCACTGTACCTGTTGGTCTTGTTCCGGTGTACCCTGACCCTGTAACGGTATCGGTGTACCTGAATGTGGACTTACACCAACGTAATTAGATATGTATTGTAAATGTACCAATGTACCTGGGTCCGTACTTGTACCAAAACACTGGAACTTATCTGGGCCTGTATATTTACCTGTACAGTAGAACCTTATTTCTTACACTCACAAACGGGAGAAATAACATTATTTCTACGACATGGAAATAAAAATAATAATAATACTAGCTATTGAGCCGGGTCGGGCGGTAAAATAGCTCAAGGGCTATTGAGTTGGGTCACCTGGTACACACAGGTAAGCGTCCCTTCCATACCTGACTCGAGTTTAGGTTAAGTATTTCGTCGATAAAAACAACACATAACTCAACTGTGTACAACTGTAAGCTATTTTTTACCCAGATGAGCCCGGCTAAATAACTACTTCCTAAAAAAAAAACAATTGTGGCGACATTTAAACCGGAAAAGTAATTCGGTGACAAACTGTGGTAATCATATTTCGCTGCCTGATAAACTAGACAAAACACAACAGATTCAGTTGTTTGATTGGGCACCTGATAGTCACAAAATCAGTGTAAATGATCTGATGGTTCCCCAGACAGTCACAACCTGAGTATTAGTACTCTGATGGGCCACTAGCGCCAGGCAGCACTTGGCACTATTGGGGACCGATGAACCTTTGCTATAAATAGATGAAATGTACAGAGAATCCTTCCTCCCTCGCCTGCATGGGACGAACCTAAATCTGATATCAATGTATAAACAAGCATTTGGAGACAAGTATATTATTTTTCTGTCTCACCCTTATTGTCTCACCGCCTGCGTCTTAACTACTGTTACATAACATCAATACTTGCCGCTATTTCAATATTCTCATTACTTCACGTCTCTCCGATTTCATTAACCAACCATTCTCATACCTCCAGTGACCGCTACCGTAGCCACCACCAGTCAGCAAGCATCAACATCAGTCGAAAGAAAACGTGTTAAGGAAAATGGAAGCAAATTTACGATCGGAGACTTCGCTAGTTATTATTGCAACTTGACTTTCACAATATTAAAGGTTGTTGACATTAATTTTATCCATATATATCTTACATTTTAATTGACGATGGTTAGTGACTGATCAAAGTTAGATCACGAGCTTAACCTTGAAGACCTTTGCAGCTTTGAAACTTAGTAATTTATTATAAAATTAGCAGCTTCCACCGCCTTACGTCCGCATTAAACAACATCTTCCCTTGAAGAGGGTCCTCGTGT